CTTCCTGTGAAAAGAAATGTTAATTTCTGGAAGGCATTTGTACATGGGTTTATATAATTTATGTCCTTATTTTAAAATAGCATCCTTGCAATTCTGATTAACAAAATAAAATAAAATCAATAAGACCCTTATTTATGCACTGTTACTAGAGAAAAATTAGTGAAGTAACTTTTTCATCTAAAAGATGAAGTCCGGATATGAAAAATAAGGAAAAACAGAAGATTATGTACTATGCTGCTTTAATTTACATTTTTAGTTGAAACATTTATCATTTAAATAAGGCCACATTGATAATACAGACAATAATATAGGCCTCAACTTTGAGATAAATAATATTTTAAGATATGGGGCTCCCTTTAACAAGAGATTCAGTTTTTAAAGGAGATAAATAACATGAACAATTTAAACCTAAAAGTACTTTGTTTATTTAAGTATTGTGTAATAAGTAACTTCAATGAACAAAAGAGAAACTAGAGACTATAATTTAACTAGGGCAGCGGTCCCCAAACTTTTTGGCACAAGGGACCAGTGCTCCTATGAGAACTTAATGCCTGATGATATGAGGTGGGGCTGAGGTGGTGATGCTAGCACTGGAGAGTGGCTGCAGATACAGATGAAGCTTCGTTTGCTTGCCTGCTGCTCACCTCCTGCTTTGCAGCCCATGAACTGGTACGCAGCCCAGGGGTTAGGGACCCCTTATCTAGGGAACCAAACAAGTGACCTATTTGCCAACTAATCAAGTTGAGATAAAGGTCTCAAGTAACTTGACTATGTTCTGTTCTCTGTCATAATGGTCAGATTTCTGCTGTTAAGTTTTTCTTCCATTTAATGTAAAACAACTATTCTTTTGCTGTCAGAATATTTCATTACAAAGCATGCCTTTAACCACCTAAATGGTAAACCTATTTGTATGAAAGTCAAAATAGACACAGTAGAAACTGAACAGGGCTGGAGTAGGAGATAGAAATATCTGATAAATTGAACATAGTGTTAATCACTTTTATAATAAGCTTTAAAATGATCTTATTGAATTTTTAATGTCATTTCTTACCTACAGCTGCTAAGTACTTTATTTCAAAAACACTAAGAAAAGTGTCAGTATGATTTCTAGTATTTAAAATAGCCTCATTTCTGTTGTAGCTTCTCTGTAATCATGAAAATGAATGGGCATCTCACAAATACAAAATATAAAATTCAGTTCAGCACTTGTTAAGCTTCAGCACACAATTGAAAAATGAGGATGTCTATAATTTGCAGGTGTCTTTAGTGCTGTTTTATACCAAGAAGTAAGCTCACACACTTTCATGACTTTAAAACTCTTACCAAGGCAGGATTTGAAATAATATGTCAATTGTAGGATGCATATATAAACATTAATCTCAAATGTTGTCTTCTATGTTAAAGTTTGCAATAAAATATTTAGAAAATATTTACAAAACATTTACGTCAAATTTGGCAATGTTCCCTTAGTAAAAATGTTTCAGTAAGGGCAAAAAAAGCTATCTTAAAATTGAAACAATATAGTTTCAAAGATATAAAAATGTAAGCCAAAATATAATATGAAATTGATTGTTTAGTATATTTTTCCTAAAAGTTACTTCCATATTTCAATAATACTCTGGTTTAAAGTATATTGAACTTCATTCAAAAAAGATATATAAATTGCTTTCTAGTGAGTCTTCAGTTTTCATTTCTCAAAATGACTCATGGGAGCAGATGGCTATAAACACCTGTAAATCACATTTTTTTTTACCATATGTACTTCTTGAAGGAGATTGGTATTTATTGCTTCACTAAAACCTTCTTCATTGCATCTTACTCCTCTGCAGCATTCAGTACTGTTAAGCATAGCCATCGTCACACAGCCGTGGCCTCCCTAGCCTGGCCTAGTTTTGCTATGTCACAGGTTTCTCTCTACTTCTCTGAGAGCTGTATCTTTGTCTTTATTCACTAACTTGACTAATATCTATTGACAAACCTACCCTGTGCCAGACATATTCTATGTACTAGGGATAAAATAGTGGGCCGGAAAAACAAGGTCCTCTTACTTTTGTTAGCCCACAAACACTTCGCTGTGGCCTTAAGCAGAACTAGTCATTCAATGTCTCAGTCCTTACAACCGCTGGATGCCTCCTTCTCTTGGGCACTATCAGTGATGACTCTATGCTTATCTTGTTTATCCTGTTTTCCAACTCATCAATAGGATTCATTTGTGTCAAAGTGATATTTAGGTCATGGAGTGGTTAAAATTGTCAACAGAGGCCAGGGCAGAGTAAGAAGGCTGAGAAAGGAACACAGAAAAAGATCAATATTTTGTGAGCAAGTGGAAGAAGAGCTAACAAATTACCCCCAATAATTCCCAAATTTATATCTCTAATTGAGATTCTCTCTCAAATTCTGATTAATATATATCCAACTGTATCTTTGATATCCACATGGATGTCTAATAAACATCTTAAACTTAACATGTCAAAACTGAACTTACACTAAACCTTGTACCCTAACCTGATCCTCTTGCAATTTTCCACATTCTATAGTTAATATATCAGCTCCATTCTTCTAGTTGTTCATGCCAAAATTCTTAGTGTTATCCTTGACCCCTGTTTCTACCAACCCACATACAACTGGCCACCAAATCCTGTGGGCTCTACCTTAAGAATATGCAGAATTTGACCCCACCACTACTCTGATCCAAACTACCATTTTCAGCTTGGATAATTCTGAATATGGGTCTAATGACAGTGCTTTCTCTAGAGAGTTGTGATTACCATATGAGTTACCACAAGTATTTTAGAATATGCCCTGGCACACAATAAATAAGTGGTAGTTATAAGTATCATCCAAAATTCCAATTATATTCAAAGCACAAATATTCAAAAGCTTTTTCCTCTATAAAATTTTTTTTTTCTGCTTTTTACATTGCTTTCTCCTCTTTGTGAATTCAGTTATACTCATGTATTATACTATATAATTTGGCTATATTATGTTTTACCTACCTTTATTACTTTCTAACTTATTTGTATAACTATGACATGTGTTTTAAATTAATATTACAAATTATCAGTGTAGGAATCACATTGTATCTTTTTCTTTTAGTATGTTAAGCACAGTATTCAGACTTTAATAAATATTTGTTGATGTGAAGTGAAAAACTGTGTTGAAGCTCTGAATATTAACTTGCTTATGAAAATCCAATGCGAATTGAATCACCAAATCTTTAAGATTTATTACATTGTTCCTGATCCATTGCAATATGCATTCAGGCCACAACCGATGTTGTAAGCTATTCAGATATCTCCCTGTTTCTTTTATTTTACTAATTCTTTAGCTGTTAGAATAAATAGTTAAATAGCAGTCCATCTGCATTTCCTGGCTAAATTTTTCCACGGTTTCCTCTCAGCACCTCAGATACCTAACAACACCCATAGTCCTTCATTCAGAATTATGTCTGTCCAAGTTTTCCAGATGCCACGGAATGTCATCAAAAACAAAAAGAACTATGCAAACCTATATATCACTGCTCTGAGTGTTCCTCAAACACAATCCTAGTTCATCAGCACCAACTAAATTGAAAATAATTTCACAAGTCCTTTTGTGATAGCTACATTTGTGGCAAGTTCTATACATTGTCTAAATCATTTTACAGAAAATCTTGATGGAAAAATTGGTTCTTGCACATAGTAACAGAGACTTGTGTCAAAGTAAATGTTTTTTCCTTCATTAAAATTAGACATGTGGCATTGTATGTTTCCAATTTTTTTTTGAACCAGAGCATGCTTTTAAATCTTGTGTAACTGAGCAGAGAGGGGCAGATAGGTTTCATGGAGAAAAATCCTGTCAATACAGCAATCCAGGGAAACTTAAAAAACTTATTACCACCAAGGAATGGGATTGAAAAATATGGACAGGATGGTTTTCTTTCTTTTTTGTACTTTATACTCCTTTTCCTGTTTAAATATGCAATCATGAGCTCCTTATTATTTTGATAAAGAACTGAAAATCCAGTATGAGATCAAGCAAGTTCATAGATAACTACTATACAAGATAGAATGTAATTAAATCTGAACAAATTAATACGAATGCCAGTACATTAATTTGGAAAAATAAGAAACATATTTGGTCATATTTTGCCCATTTTATAAATGATTAACGCTGTCAATGTTGGAAGAACATGCTTTCCATCACTGCGTTTTATAAAGGGAAAGGAAAGCAAAACCACTGTTTTATATAATTGTTCTGAACCTAAATGAATAATTAAAAAAAAAAAACTATGATATAGGAGCAGGACCCTAATACTCTACTTCGCTTCCTTACCTTTTTGGAAGTCCCTAGATTTCCTCAATGATGAGAACATCCTTTTAATCTTTTCTCTAAGGTATGGCAAATTCAATTTGGCAATTGATAGTAATTGAAGTCCATTAATTATATGTGATTTACAGTACAGAGTTCTTGATTTTTTCTTTGAATATTTAAAGATATGCATTAGGATTCAGAAATAAGCCGACTTGGGTGAAAGTCATTGTATTAGATCGAACTATATGCAATTGCCAATATTTGAATATTTTGACCTATCTAATATCAATTCACAAGGTTCAATTGTTATTTTAGTATTAAAGGCTTATGATTACCAATTTAAACAGGAAAATGAATACAGACCAGCTTTTCTAAAAGTCAAAAGAAAAACAACAAAATAGATAACAAAAATAAATCTCAAAACTCAAAAGAAAAAAGAGAAAACAAAGCACTTCTAATTGGAGAGGATGCAAGGAAACATGGCAGGGTGAAAGACGTCCCCAGATCTCTCCCCTTGAAACAACAATAAGCTGAACATCTAAAACTCAACAAAAAGCATCCAAACTGCACACCAGCATGTCTGAGTGTGGAATCTGCGCATAAGAGCTACCACAGGTCAGAACTCTGGGTGTCAGATGGTGGACTGGGAGAAATAAAGAAGTTGCCTCTCGCAGCTCCCAAAGCTCCCATAAGCAGGAGATGGGGGAGGAGAAAGTGCGGCATCTTCCCTAAACAGCCTTGCCTGAGAGAGTTTGGAAGTTCCACGTAGCCAGAGACAGGGCCCAGTCATCAGGGCAGAAAACAGAGAAGCGGATAGCAGAGAAACAACAGCTGATTTTTACCAGCCGCAGCTGCAAAACCGAGCCTGAGCTGCAGACCCCAACCCTCAATCCAAAGGGCCCCTCCTCTCATACCCTCTGAGATTGATCACCACAGAGCCCCAGGAGAATCTTAGCAACCACTACCGAAACTGTTGCTAACATTGATAGGAACTGAAACTGAGGATAACAAGCATGATTAAATATCTACAAGAAAATAAAGGCATTATATAAAGGCATTATTAAGGCTTTATATAATGCAGGGATCCAAGAGGGTTAGATGCCACCTACTAGAAACCATAAGAAAAGAGCCTTCTTTGCAGCAGGCTAAAGAGAGATCTTTATACAATAAATCTTCTTTCTGGAAAAAAAGCAGAATACATTTCCATTAATGTCCAGGTGGAGAAATAGTCCATTAAACATCATGAATAACCAAGGTGACAAGGCATCTCAGAAAAATCTCGAAAAATCTCCAGAAAATGAGTTTACAGACATAGAAATATGTAACTTAAGTGACAGAGAATTCAGGATGGTACTTCTGAAAAAACTCAGTGAGTTCCGAAATAAGTCATATCAACAATTTCGGAAACTGCAAAAACAGCTAGATGAGCAGAGCAAGGAGATTAAAATCCTCAAAAAGAACCAAATAGAACTTCTAGAGATGAAGAACACACTGCTAGAGTTGAAAAATGAAATAGCAAGCTTGGGAAGGAGTCAAGCAAATGGAGGAAGGGATCAGTGATCTCGAAGACAGAAATCTAGAAATAAAACGGAAGAAGA